AGTCAGTCCCTAGATGTACAGTCTTTAGGGGAGGGGCACACGTAGGCCCTAGGGCGAGGTGGCCATCTACCAGAGGCAGCAGAGCCAGCAGCTGGGAGAAGAAGCCCTTCCAGCAGAAGAGGGGATGTGGGTGGCACATCACAGCATCTGAGACAGTGTACTCAGATGCTTTTAGCTACTTCACAGAAAACCGCGGCTCAACTCGCTTGAACAATAGAAAATTCTTGCATCCCACAGTGCCACGTCAGGGATAAAGCAACTCCAGGATCAGTCAGTTCACTGGGTCAGCAGCTTGCGTGAGGACTTTCCCATCTTTCTTCTCTGTCCGCCTAGGAAGGCAAACTGTTTCTTGGGCTTCTTCTCATCAGACGCGGACGGCCAGAGTGGGCCAGAGTGTCACTGTGGAAAAGAGAAGCTGTTTCTACCCCAGTGCTTTTTCTATTGTTGAGTAAAATATTTCCTTGTAGCTTCCTTTTTTGTTGTGGTAAAATAGACATGACTTAATACTTATCGTTTAACTGCAGCATTAAGTACATTCGCAATGTGGTAGAACCACCATCACTACACATAAAAGTTTCTCAAAATTCTCAACAAAACTCCGTTCCCATTAAATAACAACTGCTCCCCACCCCCAGCTTGTGGTAACATCCATTTTTCTTTCCATCTCTATGAATTTGCCGATTCTAGGCGCCTCATACAAGTATAATCACACGGTATTTGTCCGGTTTATTTTACTGATCATAGTATTTTCAAGGTCCATCCATGTCGTAGCACATATCAAAATTCCCTTCTTCTCAATAGGACATTTGAACACTGTTCTATTGTATGTATATAGATGCAGTGTTTTGTTTATCATTTCCTCTATTGAAGGTCACTTAGGTGGTTTCTACCTTGTGACTTTCATGAATAATGTTGCTATGAAGATGGGCGTAGAAATATCTGTTTAAGTTCCTGCTTCCATTCTTTCCTATATATACCTAGGGGTGGAATTGCTGGGTCCAATGAGAACATGATATTTGGCCTTTGGAGAAACCACCAAACTATTTTCTGCAGTGGCCACACCGTTTCATAGATTCCTGCTGGCAACACATGAGGGTTCAAGTTCTCTACATCCTTGCCACCCTTTTTTAAAATTACAGCCATCCTTTCCCTAATATCTTACTGGCCACCATGGTGTCACATGCTCATTCCTAAATTAATTATTCACAAAGTGAATGAGATCACTCTAGTTGCCTTAAACAAGTCAGGACCGTGCCCAGGGTAGGGTCTGCCCTCCCTGAAGGACATGGCTGCAAGCAGGACAGTTGGACTTCTGAACAAATCAGAACATTCCAGCAAGAAAAGATGGAGGAGGGAAGAGGGAGGCTGCCATCAGCGTTTGCAACAGAGAGCCATTGGAAGTAGCAAGGCCCGGACCCGAAATTCTGAGTCTGCAGCCGGTCCCAGCACCTGTCACTTGTCAGTGTTCCCAGCTGATTCTAAAGCACAGTAAGGAGTTGTGAGTGCTGATCTAGTGGGAGAGACTGCTTAAGTCAGCAAGTGTGAGTCCTGAGAATCAGAAGGACAGTGTGCTGCAGAGACCCTGTGTGGGACGGGGCTCCTCCCCATCCAAGGGGACCCAGGAAATCCCTGGAGCAGAAGCGACTCTTAGACTAATATGGACTGGGGAGGAGTGTCACACACACAGGGGACAGAGAGAATGTGGTACAGTCTAGCTAGTGTCTACTTCTGGCCTTGAGGTGATAACACTTTTACTGGAATATGTACAACTCCTGAGGCAAAGGCTGGGCTAGACCTGTCAAGCCAGTTCATCTCAAGTGAGTGTCCCTTCCCCCATGACATGCTCCAGCTGGCTAAGGGAGCACTGGGTTATACTGAAGGCCACAGATCACAGGGGTTTAAGGACTGAGTTTGAACCCTGCTGGGCTCTGTACAAACACGGTGGTGGTGGGAGAAGTTTCCTGACCTCTCTGGACCTCTGCACAGGTCCTGCAAAGGACAGGTCATAACAACTACCTTGTAGGGCAACTGTGGAACTCAAATGAGAAAATGTATTCGAGCAGCACGTTAATATGTGATGAGTTCCAAATTCCTATTCCCATCACCACCTCTCTCTAGAGCGCCTCCGAACTCCAGACCTGTATATGGACAGGCCCTGCTTGGTAGCACCATTCAGACATATAGTGGGCATGTCCCACCTACCGTGCCCCAAACAGCTCTTCCTCCGCCCCTCCAAACCGGCTCCTCCCCTCCTCCATTCTTCCCGTATCCCCCACAGGCATCTCCATCCTTGGTGCCATCCTGGACTCCCTCCTCTGTCTCCAATATTGAGTCTGTTCAGTCCTTTTCGTCTCCTTTGCAATATGTGTATCTAGAATTGGACCATTTCTCACCATTCCCAACAACTGTCCTGGCTCCAACCCCCTCCTCTCCTACCTGGATCACCGCAGCAGCCTCACCCAAGACCGTCCAGACTTGGCCACTGTTACTGTGTTACTGCTGGCTTGCCTCCCACAACTGTCTAGCCCCAAACTTCCTGCTCACCACCACCCCACCACCCTTTAAGTGAATATTTTCAGTCATTCATGCCTTAAAGGGCCTCCCCCTTTGTGCCATCTCCTGCTCTCACTGAGCCTCAGGGCTGTCTTGCTTCCTTCAAATCTTTCCTGAGAAACCTACTGTCAGCTAGGCCTTCCCTGGACCCCTATTTTAAATCCTAGCACCTGCCTTTACTACATCATACTTTCCTTCTCTGCTTTATTTTTTTTCTTCTTAGCATTTACCACTAACATGTTCTATATTTTGCTTATTTATATTGCTTGTTCTCTACCAGAATACACCAGCTAAGTGGGTCTCTGCCAGAATACCCCTTCCTCATAAGGGCAGGGATTGTATGTTTTGTTCACCTTCTGCCTCGGCCCTGGCTGGCTCGTAGTAGGTTCCCAATATATTTGTTAGTACAGCATTTTACAGAAGAGAGACCTGAGGCTCAGTGCAGTTAAATAATTCACTCAAGGTCCCACAGCTAGAAAGCATTGGGTAGTTAAATGTTCTGTGATGCTTTATGACATAAAAAACCCATTTAGCAAAAAGACAGGGACACATCCATGGTCCCTCTCCAGCCCTCCTCCCTATGCCAATGAAAGAAAGGACATTTTTTAAATGAGGAAGGGGCAGGTGCCGTAGGGCTTCGTGGTGTTGCTCTGTGGACGCGGGCAAGAGTGTTAGGGTCTGAGTGTTATTAGACCGGGGAGCCAGGGAGCCGGCTCTGCACTGTTGTTCCAAGGCACCAAAGTTAGTGGCCATAATTAAATGGTGACCAGCTGCTCCAGGCCAAAGAGCTAGGGAGGAAGGGGTGCTCGCTACTCCAGAAAGACTTGCTGAGTCTGTCTGAATTTTTAGATAGTTTTTAGCACTAAGACAACCTCCCTAGCAATTTCCCCCAGACTCACTGTGCCCCCTAAAAATTCCTTCTTTGTTCAACCATCCTTCTGCACTCACAAAGAGGAATCCTAGCTGATTACCAGGAAGGACAATCAGAGAACAACCCTATAATTAGATCTGCTGCTGCTTTGTTGGAATGAGGACAGTGGGTTTTTTTTAAAATCTGTCTTTCTTGAGGAAGAGGAAATCTGAGTGGACAGAGGGTGTGTCAGCTGGTGGAGCCCAGGCCTTTTTGTCCTCACGCTGGGAAAGCCACATTGCTGGTGCTCTGCCTGCACCAGCCCAATACCTTGGCAGAGTGGAGCTTCCAGGACGAGTGCAGTGGCAGGCGATGGCTCCTCCAGCAGCTCAGAAAGGGAAGTCAGGGGCAGGGCAGGGAGGCAGGAGCTGAGGGCTGCAGGCTGTTGCCAGACCCAGGAAAGCAGGTGCCACAGGACTGGGGCAGAGCAGGGCCCAGCCTCTCCCTGGGAACTGCAGCGTCTCCCTGAGCCTCAGGACCAGGGGACTCTGGAGGCGCCTACCCCGAGACTATACAAGGATTGAAAGAGAGAGAAGGCCAGGCCTGGCACAGAGCAAGCCCTGCACACCTGTGTTTTCCTTCTTTTCAGAAGCAAGATGGTGGGGGGGCAATACAATGGCTCAGAACAGGACTAGGAGATGCTCCTTTGACAGGCATGGGTCATAACCCGGAGAGTAGAGGGAGGGAGGCTTCTGTTGGCCACGTCCAGCTGAGTTCCTTCCTCCTCACGGGTACAAATGGATGGCAGTGGTGCCTGGCTCTGGGCCCCTCTTCCATGTTCCTTTCAGAGCCCTCCACCAACTCCCTCCACCAACTCCCAAGGCCCGTGGCCAGTGCAAGGCCTGCATGTTCTGCCCAGGTACCCTCTCTGCAGGCTCCAACCCCCCAGCCATAATCCTTTCTAGGACTCTCTCTTCCCACAGGGAGCTGCTTCATCTAATAATCTGCCCTCCCAAGGGATACCCTGAGGCCAGGGGCTGAGTGATGCAGGGAGATCTTTCAATTTAGACAACTCTGAAGGTGATCCAGCCCAGAGCACCCATCCCCACCACCCTCATTGAGGGTGAATTTCTCCCTCCGCCCGTGCTGCCGTCCTCCCTTCCTACAGACATTCCCATCCTGAGGGCACAGCCTACAAGCCTCCTGCAGCTGACTCTAGGGAACCCATCTAAGACCATGAGTCCCTTAGTTGTCTTTGGTCTTTGCCCCTCCAAAGACAGCCCCCTCATCTGACCTCCAAGGCACCCATCTTCTAGTAAAATGCAGCCATCCTGTATCTCCATGACTGGAAAATGGGTGTCAATGGGTTAATATGATGCCCAGTAAAAATAATCATTAGTATAGGAACCCACACTTACGTACAGCTAACAGTCTCTACAAAGCACACTTACATACACTATCTCATTTGCAAGGTAGAATATTGATTCTGTCTGGAGCTGAATTTCCGTCTCACCACTTATTATTCTTGTGACTTCAGGCAAGCTACATCACCTTTCTGTTGCTTAGTTTCTCCCCCTGTAAAATTGGGATCCTAATTGTCTCTTCTCAGAGAGTTTTTATTAGAATTAAATCTAAACTAAATTAAATTAAATTAAACCTCAACACACATAAAGGTTTCAGAAGAGTTGTGGCGCACAGTAGGCACATACTACACATTAGCTGTTAGTGTTCGATCCTCTCAACAGCCTGTGAGGTGTTAGAGCCACTATCTGTATAGGGTTCCCCTTGTGTTGACTCATATTCTCAGTCCAGCTGTTCTTTCCAGCATCCAGCCATTTCTGCAGCCACCTGCTGGCACAGATGTAACCCAACTCCAGCTTGCTCGGCTGTGCTGTGTGGCTTGTTTCTTCCTGCCCTGGGCTTCTTTGCTCTCCTCACCTGAGATGCCTGTGGACCCCTGAGCAAACATGGAAATATTAGGGAGCCAATGTCCCATGGGGAGTCCTTTGACTAGGGGGAATCAGAGGCAATGGGAAAATACAGCATCCTTCCTTCCTTGAGAGAGTAATTCTGACGTATAGTCTGTCCCATCAAAAGCCAAGCCTAGTTGCAGTAGCCAGCCCAGCAGTGCACCCCGAGCTTGGCTTTCCCTCTGTCTCTGTTTCTGTCCCCCCATTTGCCCATGCCTGCTAACTGAACTCGCTTCCCAGAGTAAACTACCCAGACACAGCCCTTGCTTCATGCCCTGCTTTTGGAAGGACCAACTAACTGCACAGAAAAGTGATGGCACAAGAAAGAGCCAGGTTCAATATCTAGAGTCAGATTTGGACTTAAGTCTCTCACCTACCAAATTTCAGGCCTTCACACTGTGCCACCTGCCAGTTGACACAAATGCATCTTAACAGGGGCCTTCCGGAGGCCACAGAAGGCCAGGGAGGAGGCAGCTGTGCACACGTAGCTTCAGATACTTTCCCTCCCAGATCTTCTCTGGGGATGCAGTCCTCCATCATGAGGGAGTGGAAGACACTTCGCTGAAGCCTGGGGCAGGGACTGCATCTAACTGGTCTTAGTGTCACCAGCATTTTAGCTCATGTATCAGCAACACTCAGGGCCTGGCACGTAGTAGGTGCTCAGGAAGTGTTTGCTGGATTCACAGGTCCAGAAATAAAACTGCACATGATTTGCTTTTTTTTTCTTACAGTATGCTGGTTTTACATACAATTTGAAATACTTTCATCAAACTGGTTAACGTAGCCTTCATGGCATCCTCTTAGTTATGGTGTTAAGACATTTATATCCTACATTTAGAAGGATTCACATGTACCCTTGTAAGATGAACCATAGGTGTGATCCCACCAAACACCCTCCCTCCACGCATCCTCCCCTCTCTCTTTCCCCTTCCTCTATGATTTGTTTTTTTT